TACTATCGTTACCAAACTGTTTAACATCTCATTCTTCTATCGTTACCAAACTGTTTAACTTCTCATTCTACTATCGTTACCAAACTGTTTAACATCTCATTCATCTCAGAAGAAATTTCTGCAGCACCTATTTTAATTATCTCACTGTTTTCTTTAATACAAGAGACCTCTTCCATGCTTTTATTCTTTATTAATAAATCCTAATAAATTCCAAAAGTATTTAAACCACGCAGTTTTTCCTCTTTACCGATATTTCCAATTTTCTTTACTGTAGACGAAAACAGGTTGGGATTATTTAAATTAATGTGAAGTTTTTCTTTCATTTCATTTTCATGCAATTGTTTTCATTTTTACAGATACTTATAATTTTTTCTTTATAAACAAATAATCAAAAATGATATTTGATCTTCTAAACTGTTTTAGTATCCTAACCTTTTTCATATTTCGCCAACCTGCCTGTACTTTCTGTTCATTACTTATTTTATATTGAATTAACCATAGATTTCCTGACCTATGAAAGACTTCGGTTATTATTTTAATAGTATTATATGCATCGTTATTTATAATAGTTCAATTTAGTTTTTGTGTGGAATGTTTTAATTCTATTTTAATTATTTTTACAAAGCTTCCTTCAATTTTATCCGAGGCATAACGGCTCATAGAATGGCTCCGATAATTTTTTTTTCAAGTACAAACTTTTAGCTCATAGCTCCAACTCCATCTAATTACAGCGGTGGCTATTGAGGATTCCCTCTTGTTTGAATCTATTACAAAGTTGAGAAGAATTGAGCAGTTTCCATTTATTCCTAATATTGAACCAGAGCTATTCGATATTTCTTCTTATAATACAGTCTAATAAAAAATGCTGTCCCAGGTTTTATCTAAAACTTTGAAGTCATAATTTTTTCTATTATATTTAACGTACAAATAGCATGAACAACTATGCTTTTACCATTTTAATTTTAAAATTAATCTCTTCTCTACTGCCTCCTGGAAGTTTAACACTACAAGTATATAACTTATTGTTTATACACAATATATTATCAAACCTATTTACTACCCGATCCTTTCCTTGAACATGTAAGTCTCCTGTGTTTTATTCATAGACCTCTCTTCTATTTCAGTGACTTCTTGTTTGTTTCCTATTCTTGTATTTAAACATGCCTTAATTATAGTCTTCGGGCTATCATACTTTATTTCTAATTCTATTACTTTTTATCTAAAATTTCAATCTCATTTCTACTTTCTTAGTAATCATAATCATGGGATGAAACATAAAATTAGTATAACAGTCTTCTTTTAAAAAAATATTCACAAAACCGAAAATTTTTAATACACATTTACAATCCTTACCTATCTAATTTTTTACAGTTATACCTGCTGAAGCTTTGCTAAATTTACTAATCTTAATAGCCTGAACGTTTTAACATTCATATCCTCCTATCGAGTATTTACTATCATTTTCACATCCCATTTACATCATCTTTTCTTCACTCTATTGTTCAGAAACTCTACACTATTGAGAATGAGATTTAAAATTTGACACATTCTGGATTTACATTCTACATATTTAATTTAAACATTATATTTCAGTGTTTAAGTGTTATTAGGAGAATTTAATTGATATTAACTTCCAATTAGAGCAAGCTACTTCCTTAGAGTGAAACTAAAAATCAACCTGGAAGTATGGCTAACTAAATGTACTTTTCTTATGCCTTTATTTATAAAGATTAGAATGTATTGTTTCATCATTTGGGTACCCTCGTTATTAATGATATTTTCGGCCATAAGTTTAACCCATGTTCGAACCATAAGATACAAATCTTGTATAACAAAAACAAATCAGAGTGATTAGTTAAAATGCTGTTAAACTGACTTTAACAACAACAAAGAGATTACTTATATAGATTACTTTAACAACAATGTAGGTTTAAGATCTGTTAGAATCAGGATATTGATGTTGTCAAGCACAAAGATACACAATGGGTATCTGTGCTCTGTCCACAGCGGGTAATGAAACCCAACTTTTAGCGTCATCGAGAGGAATGTATTAAAATCAGTAGCGACAGACATAGGTTTCTGGATACTTGCTAAAACAAGGTTTTAATGTTTGATCAATACAGTTTCTACGATTTGCCTTCTATTTATATTAGTTTCACTTCGTGGAATGTCAATTTTCTTGTCGGATAGCGAGTATTTTTTGTTTTAAATCTTCAAAGGCATAGAACGGTCTTTTAAGGTGTTCTGTGATGCATGTGTTTATTTTTCTTCCAGTTTCACCTAAATAAAATCGTTCACATGTGTTGCATTAGATTTCATATTTATTTCTTTGGTGTCCTTTCATTTTGGATAATTTTCCTGGTTTTGTGTACTTAACAAGTTGATTATAATGTTATTATTTTTCTTTCGCTGGCATATTCAAGAAAAGGATAGTGGGTGTGATAAAGTTATTCGGTTGGATTGAATGACATTAATTTCCCTGATTGTTCATATAAACTTTCCTTGAGGAATAACCGTTTCTATGAATGAAAATATCAGATATATTCTTTACTCACAGCTTAAATTGTTATGAGTACAAATGTCAAGCGCGATTTGAACTATACATTTAAAGATTCCACGTTTCTGAGATTTTGTTGAAGATGGTGAATGGGTTTCCAGTCTACATATTTCGTTGTTTCCTATAAGCACAGGTGTCGAATGCAATTGGTTTTCTTATGATATGAACATTCAAAAACTTTATGGATAAATTATTTCTTCTTAACTTATGAAATAGGTGTTCTAGTTAATGTTGTTAATATGAATTAAAATATAGTTTCTCGGGTCAGAGTTAAAACCTCAAAATACCATATCAGGTGTACATTTTTTTCAAGTTGAAAGAAGACTTGGCTAATGAGCTAGATTACATTCTGGCCACAGGAAATACATCAGTTTGACAGTAAGTTATGTTGATAAACTGAAAGCAAAACGTTATTGGTAGTCAAATAGTGGCACAAAATTTGAAGAGGTTATGGTAATTCTTCTAGTAGGGTCATTGATAGTAGTTTCAATAATTTTCTTGAATGATTTATTTTATCGAGGTATTTGGATATATATAAATTTTGTATATCAAAGCTTGTCATTTCACTTTTATGATTTAATAACTTCAGGGATTGAAGAAAGTTAGATGTATTTTTGATTGATTGTATCTCAATGGATTTATATGATGCATAAATCACTATTAAAAATTATTTTATGATGTCCACATATTTCGTTTTCAGCTACGATATAAGCATCTTTCTCACTTGGATCATAAACACCACTGAAAACGTAATCAGTCGTCTAGTCTTCAAGCACAAGTTAACTGGAATTAACTATATAGACAAAGAAAACCATGCCTGGGATATGAAAAAGATAAATTAAAAAGTGTTAATAAAGTGAACATATCTAGAAAAAAAGATTTACATTTAATAAAACCAGTACCTTTTGTGTTCTTAACAAATAGGCAAAACAGTTTATGGGAATTTTGAGAGAGAAAATTTTTTAACTTTGAATCACAGTTGTTTAATATGATTTAATTGTTCTAATGGGAAACTATTTTTTTTCCCATTAGTGTAATTAGTTAAACATGAATTTATAAAACTTTGCTCATTTAGGTTGTTTAAAAGCGAATACCATTAAAAAGCACGGTGACTGACGGAAGTAAACGAGTATATAGTACACGAAAATATTATCATTATGATGGTATAAACGGTAAGGGAAAATGTTTATATATTTTAGAAATATCTGCTCAGTGGCTCAGTGATAAATTTGAGGTTTTACAACGCCAAAATTCAGGATACCATCCACTCGGCGGATAGCTCATAATGTAACTTTCCACTAAAACAAACACACACGTACACAAAGACAGTTGTTCTGATTAAAAATAAAGACATTTTATGGAAAAAATACAATTATTTATAAACCATCTAAGATAAACTAATACCTGGTAAACTATCCTGGGAGTGAAGGCCTGAAGATGTTTTCTTGTTGATATATTTCGAATCGCTGCATAATGGCGCTAGGATCATACTCGTCCTACTATATTGTGACATCCGTTGCACTTGGTAGCCTGTATCTTCACGACGAAAAACTGCAGAGAAAGTAACAAGTATGTATTTTTACAGGTCTTCAATGTTTTTGATGAGTCATTCATTTATTGTCCGCTCTCATGATTTCAAACATTAAATGTATGTAAGTAATAGACTAAGAAGTAAGCTAAGAAATACTTCAGCAATCTTGCTATCAATATTAAATACATTTCAGAAACATTAATTACTTTCTGTATAAACGACTTCATGAGGCGCGAAGTTATAATATTATATATAGTGCAGGTCACTTCGCTGATTAAACCATATAAACAGAAAACAAATAAAAGAGTTCGAATCCTATTCATCCTGAATCTTAATTTTTAATAAAATAGCAGGAAGATCCCATTGCTGATAGTTATCTTGAATATTTTAAACAAGGAAAACACGAAACGTAAAAATCTTAAGAAATAATTACTAATCAATCTAGAATATGAATTCTTTATACTAAATTTGTATTTGTATTTTGGATTTGTCACAAAGGTACTTAAGCTACCTACTGCCGACCCTTATATTGAACTACTTAACAGAGGGAAGGCAACCGGTCATCACCACCCTACAACCCACCATATACGCTAAAGGAAGGACTATCACTCTTATAACGCACCCACATCTTAAAGTATGGTATTATTTTGTGGTATCGCACGAGCTCGCCAGCTCCGAAGTTCCCAGGTCTACTACAAGGCCAGCCTGCACTAGACGAATAATTACAAAATAAATATTGTACTTTTAAATTATTATTGTGCATTTAAAAATAAAATCTAATGGAATTATGACTCTTTACAGCAATACACTTCACACTAAAATCATAAAGAAAAACGTAATCTGTTATGAATACATTACTGGAATAAACTAATGATGAAAAATGGTAACTCAAAAATGAATTTAATTTCCACGTTCAGTATATATTTAGAACAACCCTTCAACTTCTTTTTCGGAGTAGTTTTGACATTAGTATATTTATTAACATATTTATATATTATGAAAAATGTGAATTACACTGTACCGAATAAATGATAATGCTTGATATTACAACAATATTAAGATACAGTAGAATACAGAGAAACACGAACAGAGAGTTGTGTACGTTCTTTAAAACACAACAATATTAAGATACAGTAGAAGTACACAACTCTTTGTTCGTGTTTCTCTGTATTCTACTGTATCTTAATATTGTTGTGTTTTAAAGAAAGTACACAACTCTCTGTTCGTGATTCTCTGTATTTCTTTAAAACACAACAATATTAAGATACAGTAGAATACAGAGAAATACGAACAGAGAGTTGTGTACTTTCTTTAAAACGACTTTGAATATGCAAATCAGCAACTCACGTAAAAAAACACAGCCGATATAAGGTCGCAGTGGAATGTCATGTATCAAAAGTATATTTTGACTTTCTTTGGAGGTTGCAGGTAGTTTGGTGCCACTGAAAACTGGTCACTTTTGGGTAGAGTATGTAAGTGTTTTCTGTTGCAAAGTGTCCATGCACTATGGTTATGAAGATATATATGTTCAGGTCATGTGTTTAGAATTTCCAAGATTGGGATATTCCTTGTAAATAAAAGGAATATGGATCATTTTGAACTTACTAGAATCATCAAGAAAGACGTCTGCAACACGTCATACTCGAGCAATGACAAGCAAAATGTAGCTTCTTATGAAATGTGATAATCCACGAAAACCCAAAATTTTAAATCACGATGTCACGTTGTTAAACCATTAACTTAGAATGATTTGAGTCCAAAATCGATGATATTTCCTATTATTACTTTAGTAATTTCGAGAAGTTGAATTGTTCCTTCTTGGCGTTTAAACTGAATAAACTGCTTTAAGCTATAACTGTTCTTTTTGCAGTTTTTACCATTTCTTTTATATGAACACATTACTATAATTGTATCTGAGTTTCTAAAGAGCTGACTGATGACAATTCAGTTTTAAGCAGCATTATTTCTTAATCTTGTAAAAGAAAACCATAGTACTTTTATGATCCTATTCCATTCCTTTTAAATACAACAAAGTTAATCGTTATTTAAGATGATTTTTACTCTAACTAATATAATTGTGATTTGTTACAATATATGTAATAATGGGACTAATCTATTTATATCATAGAAGCGACTCGACTGTAGGGCAATACGAAAATATTTAAGTTTTAATGCAATAAATAAATATATAGAGATGACTGGGAGTTTAGAGGTACTTTTTCCAATAGCACATGTTTTAAGCTGCAAGTATTCTGGCTAAAATTAACAAATTTTAAAACAGAAAATAATGATATTTTCTGTCGAGTTTGGCTGAACTCAAAACTTTCAACGGAGGCAAAAACATGGGCTAAACAGTTAGATCATAGACTCTGGTGGCATCATCGTCTCTACCCCACTGCTATTGCGCGCCTTCTTGTGATACTTCTTGGACTATGACGTTATCGTCTCCGGTGAGATCACGTAAGTTCCTCCTTCCCTTCCTCTGAGGCAGGCAATCAGCGCGTGTGTCTAGAGTGAGGAGTAACTATTAATATTTCGTTTGTTTGTTTGTTTTTATAATTAAGCACAAAGCTACACAATGGACTATCTGTGCTCTACCCACCACGGGTATCGAAACCCGGATTCTAGCGTTGCAAGTCCGCAGACATTCCGTTGTGCCACTGGGGGCTAATATTTTGTTTTGTATACACACCCATAAAACATGAAATTTTGTTTAAATGATACTGCCGTTACACGTGAGAGTTTCACAAACGAAGAAAATGTTTCTTCTAACTAAGTAAATCAAACAAATGCTTGAGGTATCGAAACCCGGATTCTAGCGTTGCAAGTCCGCAGACATTCCGCTGTGCCACTAGGGGGCTAATAGTTTGTTTTGTATACACACACATAAAACATGAAATTTTGTTTAAATGATACTGCCGTTACACGTGAGAATTTCACAAACGAAGAAAATGTTTCTTCTAACTAAGTAAATCAAACAAATGCTTGATTGATCATTCCAAAACAACAAGAAAATAAAATAGTATCTAATAGCCTCATCTTTCACATCTTATTTGAAAAGAAGACCCCATCCAACTTTTTCTTAATCAAATTTCCATATGTTGCCAATATTGCAACAGTGAGAATAAAATGATATTTTTGGATAATCTTTGTGAAAGGAAAGTTTAATTAATAAGGTAAAACACTAGCCAACATTTGATTTCTGTTGATTAAAACGCTCGAGGTTTTCAAAAAAAAAACATTCAGTAATTATTTTAAGTTACAAGTTCCTCAGACCCCATGATAAAAAAATATAATATAAATTATTCTAGCGTTTCGCATTCAAAAAGATTCAAAAGTAAATTGTTTTTTGTTTGATTTTTAGATTTTAAAGGTACAATACTTTTTCTCATAATTCTTTTTACAAACAATAAAATTGAAAATATAAGAAAGATCACGCAACTTATATAACTCAGAGCATCCGACAAATGATTAAACTCAAATAGTGTTGTTTGTATTTTTTGTTGTTAAGCACAAAGCTACACAATAGGCTATCTGTACTTGCCCAACACAGGTGTCGAAACTCGATTTTTTGCGTTATAATCCCTCAGACTTACTACTGAGCCACTGAGGAGTAATGGTGTTGTGCTTTGAAATATGCTGTAGTTATGCTTTCGTATCTTTTTTCTAGACAGTCGATTTTCCTATGTAAAACTTCACTTTCTTTTCTAACGAGGCTTGGCATGGTTTGGTAATTAGGTCACTTGACTCAAGCTACTGGTCGCTGGCTCGAATCCCGTAACCAAATACGTTTGCCTTTGCAGCCGTAAGGATCTCATATTGTAATGGTAATGCCCATTGTTCGTTGGTAAAGGAGTAGTTCAAGAATTAGCGATGGGTGGTACTGACTAACTGCCTTCCATCTACTTTATCACTTCAAATAGGATTAACCTAATTTCTCCTTAGAAAAGTTTGTTTTTTTGTTTGTGGAATTTCGCGCGAAGCTACTCGAGGGCTATCTGCGCTAGCAGTCCATAACTTCAAAGTTATGGATAAAAGAAAATGATACGAAACTTTTATGAATTCTTCGACTTTTAGCACAAAAAAATGATGGCGTAATACCAAAATTAGATTGACCACTATTAGAACTTTCTGTAATGAACCAGCGGTTTCCAATTATCTGAGTTACTAGGCATGATTGATATTTTAGTGGATAATGTGATCTAAAAAATTTCAAAGCTCCTCCTCGTTTTTACTGAAATAAAAAATTTTCTTATTTGCTTTGAATGAAGTGAATAACGTTTTAAATTATTTTCCTAAACTGGAATTTTGAAATCCGGATCGAAAACAATCAATGTAAATTTCAAGACTGAACTTAACAACCCGTTACAAAAATATTTTAAGTGTTTAACAAAATATAATTTAAAAAAACGACACAAGATAATCATATCTAGTTAAAATATAGCACCAACTTTACTCTAATAAAAGCTTATGAAGAAAACAGTAATTGTTACCTAAAAACATCTACCAAGAACATCCCATAGATGAAATTCAAATCCGGTCAGTCTTTTTTTCTCAGTTTAGTCCGCTGGCAACGGATATTATTAAGCTGAAGTCAGGGCTAATTGTATTAGCATGTGGCAACAGATACTGTTGTAGGATCTGAGTCCTATAATATTTGTTATAAATGCTACCATTCTGTAAGAAGTAGAGATTTTGTACTTTTACCAATGCTTATCCCTGCTCATGCCACACTTACATCATTACCATATGTTATTTGTCTAAATAAAAATGAGAAAATTTGATTAAAACTTTAATATAAATTGGTGCAAATTTTTTATCTGACTGCAAGGGAAAACAGCGCATTTCTAAAATAATATTGTTCATGTTGTTTGTCAGCTGGACGTGTTTTTGGCTTCATTGTTTTATGATTATCTATGAGCTAAATGAATCTCACTGAGATTTGGCATACAGGCAAGCTTTCTGCGTTCTCTTTTAACTACTTTTATCCTGATATGGATATATGACGACCAGTTGCGACTGTGAGCACCACATTCAACCTCAGAGCTTGTATCTACGATTGCGGTAAAAAATAACCACTATGAGATCCACTGCTTGTGTCTACCTTCTTTACTTGCCCGAACAACCGCAGGAGTCTGTTGTTGTTGGTTGAGGAGTCTGTTGTTGTTGTTGGTTGATGAGTCTGTTGTTTTGGTTGTTCACCATTTGCCCGATGACTTTCCACATAAGTAAAACATTTAAATGCTTTTTCTGAGATCTAGCCAAGACTCGCGAACATGGTAAATAGACTGTACTAAATCATAGGCGGAATAACCAATAACTTGCATTTCAGGTCACAATGAACTGATTGGTGTGAGGGAGATTATTGATATAAATTTATAATAGTATTTTTACCTTATCATAATTATTATATTATGAATTCCTATTATCCTTTAATTAATTTGAGTAGTGCATATTTAAGATATTAGCTTGCTATTTATACAAAAAATAAACTGAATATACTTTAGGAGGATATATAATTTGAATTGATGTAGATTTCTTCTCGCACAAGCTAAAAGCAATTGCTTAAATGTGATCTCATATTTTACTATGTGTAAAATGATCGCAGTATTTTACAAGTACTCTTATCAAAAGTAAATTATTTGATATTAATCTACATACATTTTTAGGATAGGAGAAAGTAATGTTTAGTTGGAATTACTATATCTTAATTACTTATGCCACTATGAAACTTTCATGAATACTTATGCCACTACGAAACGTTCATGAATATGATCAACAAAATAGTTCAGATTATATCAATTCTGTTTATTGTTTAAGTGAAACATTTCAAATTTTCACTTGTATCGAGGAAACGAAAATGTTCAATATGAACCGCAAGAACAAAAAAATGACGAGGAAAAGAATGAAAACATACATAGAACGTAAAATTATTTTCATAAAAAATCTGCTAAATTGCGCTTTTGCAACACATGAAAATGTATATATTTTTAATATTAAAACTTTATCATGTTTATCATTATGTTAATTATGCTGCATCTGCGCTTATCACATATTCTGATAATCTAATTTAATCGATTCAGCCTGTTGACTCACTCTCCACAAACATTTTAGTTGTATTTACAATTCTAATAGTTTGGCGGCACCGCTGATAACCAAAACCATGCTCCAATCAATTATATATATTGTCAAAAGTGTTGAAGACTGAACGTTAGTCAGGTGGTTGTAAAAACAAAGGGTGAAGGAAACATTCAAACTCCGTTGTGTTCCAGATTATGTTTACTTTAAAGTTCGATGTGGAACAACAACAAAAATCCTACGACGCTGCAGCTTTCCCTTAAGGACGCATATAGTAAAATCGGTAGAGCTAGGAATTTAAAACTGATTTCAACAATTTATACCTCCCTATGTTTTTAAAAGTTTTTTACAATGGTTTGCATAACTTACATGCTGAATTCAAGGGTAAGCTTTTCACTGCACTTTCTTCTCCTTTATCACGATAATCTTTGTCATCTATAGGAACATATAACAGACAGACATTTTTCTTTTAGTTGTGTAAAACAAAAATCTTACAAAAAATACGTATAGCATAATGCAGGAACTATTTGCGTTCTTTACTGGTTTTATTCGTTCGGAAACTCTCTTTTGTACCTATTACATATTCTGCCTTATAATACATCGGTACTGGTCATATGATCTTTGTAACTATGTATTATTCATTCAGTTTTTTTATCCAGATATTTTAATAATGATCACCTCGTACTGAAATTAATACACCAATTATGTTTTCTAAAGAAATCTCAAGTAAATTTTCATACAAAAGTATACTTCTTACCAAAATAAGAATGGGTAGAAACAGTTTCATTTTGGCCTGAACGTTGTGATACTCTCTGAGCAGTATCATATGCTGTATTACTGCCCAGCATGATCTGGTGAGCTGGCGCCATCTGATGTAAAGTTAAAAGGTACCACTTGGGACAATCTTGTAAGTCTGCCCGTCGTAATGGAATCTGGGTTTCTCCCAAAAACGTCTTGCTTCCGGATGGGCTCTGGTCCCATACTGTAATTTCTAGTGACTTATCAAGTAACTGTAATACAAGAAATGATAAGTGTATAGTATGATAAATGACATATCTACGTTTTATAATTTCTCATTTATGTAATCATGAAGCCAAACATAATAATGAAAAACGTAAAGATCTTCCAAAACCAATTTGATCTGTAGCACTTTCTAAAACGACCACTTCTAACCAATTTGATCTATAGCATTTTCTAAAAAAGACCACTTCTAACCAATTTGGTCTATAGCACTTTTTAAAAATGTAAAGTTTTAACCCTTGAAGTTTTATCTTAGATAATGTTCACTAGGAAGCAGACATACTCACATTAAGGACATTGGGTGAAGCTAAGAAATTCATTATGCATACTATGAATTGAGACTAACTCCATGATTTTAATCTACTAAAGGATACGTTATTAATATTCTGACTAAACACTTTTCATTGTTGGATTTTTACTGGTCTTGCATCATTGGTTAATTTTGGTGTGCATAATTTTGTCTTAATTTGTTACTTGTGTCCATATCTCTGACAGATTCACTTATGTGTTGATTCAGCGTGTTTATTTTTTCATTATGGTGTTTCTGTTCTCCCGTATTCTCTTAGTCCTTTGAATACGTTTGGATAAAAACGTAAATGTCACGACCTTTTTTACAGATTTACAATCAAAATTTAATAAAGCTACTTTATTCGAAATTTATGTCATTAAACCTGGGATTAAAATGTAGTTTGAAATTTAAATATTTATATTATTTTACTTTCAAAAGGAAATATTCAAATAAGTTCTCATTTTTCACTTCGCTGTGTCATGTAACCATCTTCTTTCTGAATTTTCCTTTACAGATTTTTCTCCTTCTTATATAGAATTTCAGAGTGTCCACCAATTAGATAAACAGTAAATATTTAAAGGCCAGAATACAGAATAATAACATTCTAACTTTCTGAAATATCAATGAATTTATTACCCCCACTACAGAAGCTATTCATGCTTTTGAAATCACATATTTGCTCACGCTTGGTTGTTAATGGTACATGTTTAAAGCCAATAGAAAGACACTTTTGTGAACTACATGATTCTGATGATAGTCTGTTTTTTTTCCTGGAGAAAACAGTTATTTTGAAAGTAGATCTTGATGTGCTCTAAAAAAGTAATAAATTTTTTCAAACATATTTATAGCTTATTAAGAAAGTTGGATAAACTATAGTAGTTTTGAATTTTCGAGAAACTCTCCATATGCCTATAAATATAACCAACGCGACGCGCCAAAAAAAAGACTATCTATTATTGGGTTGTTGTAATTGGTGTGCTATAAACTCCGTAAGCTATTACTGTGATTAACACTTATGTATCGGGAAATTTCAGATATTTCACCAGGAACGTTTACAAATTTCGAACATTACAATCCATTTAACTTCAGTGGATTATTATCGAACATTAATGTTTTTACGAAAACATTTATTTAACTTCTAAATCTAAATTACAGTTTAACTCAGTTTTAGGCTATTAGAAATTGTCATACGTAACACCTCAGATTGCAGGAAAATTGGTGTGACGACGAAATATCTAAATCATATGGCCTACAAAGGCGATCAGTGGTTCGCTCGGAAGTCATTTCGAACTTGTACGCCGAATATGAGTACAATGAAAGAGCTACCAGAGTTTCAGAGGGGGAAGGATAGTTGGATGTCATTTGGGGCAAATGTCTGTACGTGCTATTGCACAACAATTAAACATTCCCAGGTGGACATTTGGCATCGTGCTGAAGAAATAGAAGTCCATGGGTGACAATAAGCTCAAGAAACGACCAGGTAGACGTAAAATACTGACTGACAGGAGCCGACGCGCCTTGAGAAAGCTGGTTACCTCATCTCACCATCAGACTCAAGAGAATCTGAGTTTGGAGATGCGAGCAGCCACAGGCAATCCTATAAGTGTTTCCACGACACGTCAAGAGCTGTATGTCACGAATTTTCTCGGAAGAGCTACAACCCTCAAGCCATTGATAAGAAAAACAAATGCATACCATGGACTGGCATGAGGCGAGGCATACCGAACCTGGACCGTAGATCAATAGAAATTAGTGGAGCGAAGAGTCACACTACACGCTATTCCAGTCTGATGGATGTGTTTTGGTATAGAGGATGTCTGGTGAATACTTATTACCTTAGTGTGTTATCCCAACAGTGAAGTTTGGAGGTGGTGGTATCATGGTCTGGGGGTGCGTCTCGTGAATGGACTAGGTCCACTGGTCGCAGTACATGCATCCGTGAAATCTGAGTCCTACATTGACGTTCTGAGCAATTCTGTGGGTCGTACATTGTGGCAAGTTTATGGCATCGGCCCTTCCACCTTCCACCATGATAACGCTCCATGTCACAACATACGTATTGTGAACGCTTGTTTTGAAGATAATAACATCGGAACATTGCAGTGGCCAGCACAGAGCCCCGACCTGAACCTGATAGAACATCTTTGGGATGGATTGCAACGCAGAATTAGGGGAAGGCCAAGACAGCCCTCTTCAGTACTGGAGCTTACTAATGCTTTGAAGGAGGAATGGAGCACAATACCATCAGAAATCAATAAATAGTCTTCCACGAAGTTTTAGTGATGATGGACCACATTACATATTTCGACAGAACATTGGTCCGTCCGCTTCCTTACCTTAGTATCTTATTTTCAATAATAACAATATAGACTGAAAATACATATACGGCTATTTCAAGAGATCATCACATGTATTTACAGGAGGTGGAAAATGATATTATAAAATGTATCGATGGCCCAACCAGAGTATGTGATCCAAATTCAATAAAATGTTTGTTACCTGTATTATCATGCCATTATGAAATATTTACAGGTATACAAGATAAAATAACAGAATTATGTGAAAAGAGAGTCATTAACAATTAGTAATTATATTTTTATTGTACTCAAACCCTCCGTACTTGATTATTTAGCATTAGGAATGAAGTTACATTATCTATCGTATGTTATAAGCCATTCAACAAAAGTACAACTTAGAGATAATGGCTATTTAAAACTGATGAGGAATTGTTCCAAACATGGAAAGATGTAGTTTACCATGAATATTTGGAATCAAAACTAAATACATTATATAGGAGCTAAGGTCCTGGTGTTAAAGGAATTAATGACCAATAAGAAGAGACAACTGTTTCGGAAATTATAGTCTACATTGAAAGTATCAGCTCCTAAATCAATGTTTAAAAAAACAATTATTTAACCACAAATAGGTCAGTATTAACTATTTAAGAGTTCACTCAACAAGTAAATACGTTAAAATAAACGTCAACAGGAAAATCGATCATTTCACGGGAATTTACTAATTCGATATTGATAACATTATCATAGTAAGCATACTGTTGTATCGAGGTCATAGATAATTGAATTAAAGAATCCGAAAAGAAAAATTAGTGGAAGATAGAAGTCGGTTGGATTGACTTAGCAAGAAAATAAAATTGAAGAGTATCAACTTAATATATGAGGCTAGTTAGTTTATAAAAAACGATATTCAAAACTTTATATAAAAACGTGAGGTTAAGTTAAAATTATCTATGATGTAACCCTGAAGAAACAGAAAATAGAGGGATAAGTAAAGAAATGAAGTGGAAATCGACTAATAAATAGTTCAAGTAGTTCATGTGATACCAATGAAAATAGAAAGGCAAAAGCACGGTAACGAGGAAGACAGAAAATATATGATAAAGCAAGGAAAAATATGGCAAAATACAATTAATAACGCTAAGAACTTGAATTATTTGTGTAATGTAAATAATAACATCAATGTAACGAACACTTGTTTGACAGGATTTCTCTCTAGGAAATGACAGTGATGCAAACTTATGAGTATAATATATATACTGTAAATTTTAAATAAAGTATCATAACTATGTAACAATCTCTATAATGTGGACCGGATATGAAGATAAAAGCATCGAGTAAATTACATTGAATAGCTTGAAATTAAGGTATCCTCAATTATGGAGAGCTGAGGCAAGTGTACGCCAGCTGTTAAAAGAATTATCGTCAATTTTATGTAAAGACACTGGATAAAAACAAAGCTATTGTAAGTTTTATTGGCTTAGACTATAAAGAATAAGAGAATGTCTCAAGTTGAACAATATGTTAGGATTATCATGTTTTTCAGAGTGGGAGACATTGTAGCCTCAGCAAAGTGTATAATTTATATAAATAAATTCGACAAGATTTTGAATTATTATATATTTATTTTTGTTTGTTTTTATTATTTTATATTATGATAAAGTAAGTAACATATATTTTAGTCAAGTAATTTTGATTGGTTGTATACTTCGACTTCATGTATTGAGGGTAAACAAGTGTTAAGACTCAATATTATAAAACTTTGTGTTTTTTCATGATATCTTATTATATGAATGAATCAACCATTGTGAGGTATTGTAATAAGTGAGGGTGGTTTCGTAATATATTGGTTACGAAATACAATATGCTAATGTTTTTTTTATATATTATAACCTGTAAATGTCATGAACAATGATAATAGTTGATGAAATTGATTTTGTTAGTTATTTCAAGGTAAATATTATAAAATAAGATGTAACAGTAGTGAGATCAATGAGATGATTATTGAGTATTCATGGTTTTCTGGAGTTATTTTCACAATTACATCGAGGTATTATTATTTTTAGAAAATAAAACAGAAAGAAAATGTCCTTATACCATAGAGAAATTTTTATAGAAAGAAGGGCTAGAAAAAATCATTAATAAAAAAGTACGAAATAAGTATAAAATAAGTTGATGATAGAAACATTTTCATTTATTAAAATATTTTAATTACGTTTCTGGAACAATAATTCCAGAAAATAGCTGGAATCTAACCCTTTAAAACACAGGTAGAGAATTTTGATTTATTGTAAATTAAAGAAATTAGTAACAATACACCAGTTTGAGTCGTAAAATCAGAATCATGGTCACAACGCATGTCTGTTATTATATGTCTGTAGTTAAATATGCAATGAACTATTTGAAGAAGAGTTCAAATGAGCTTTATCGCGTGACGTAGCTAAATGATGAAACAAATATTCGTACATTCATTTAGTAACATGACATACAAATATGAATAATGAATATAAAATAAACATTTTTTCTTAAACTAAACAAGAAAAGGATTATAAAGCATTAAGTATTCTTTGTGTTGTTAAAGTGAAGGGTAGTTATATTGAAAAACATAATCATGGATATAACAAAAAGAGACTTTAATAAGTGTTACATATTGTTATAATACCTAATGGCTCGGCCTCATTTCCTGAGCCTTTCAGTAGCACAGCGTTATGTCCGCGGAAACCGGGTTTCGATACCCGTGGTGAGCAGAACACAGATAGCTCATTGTGTAGCTTTGTGCAAAAATTCAAACAAACAAACAATAATTTCTTGATTATCACTTAAAACTTCTTCGAGATGGTGATTTACATGCTAATGCCACTAACTGCTGATCCTGGTATTTTAAAAATACTATTCATAATAAGGTATTTGTCTTCCAAGAGCCCACATACATTTGTAATGTATAATACAGGATATAAAACTAACATATAACATATAGTAGTGAACATTAAAAACTAAAGTTTGATAAATTAACGAGCTAATCTAGTATTAGTAAATGAAAACATTATTTAATATGTTAAAAAAGATATATGAATAACAGCACAGTTACTGAGAAGAAGGGGTTTTTTCTTGAGTAATAAATCTACAATATGTGCCACATGAGAAATGAACATTTTATAGAACTAAGATTAATATTCTCATATATTTTTAATTATTTAAAAAAACATGTAATTATATTTGTGCGAAGTTTACATTTGAACACACTTTTTATTAAAGAAAAAACCTTTTCAATGTAGTTCAGGTCATAAGAGAAATATCTAAAAATGATTCAAAATATTTACTTTTATTAGAAAACGTTTTCGGACAAAAGTAACTAACTCATTAATTAATGTTGTTTTGGAAATATGTTTTTATTGATTAGCCTCAACAACTCAAGACTACATTAACAAGTATAAAGAAGGCTTAAGTGAGAATTGGCCTACTTACTCATAGGCTTAAACTATAAAGAGTTCAAATGAGTTATATACATAATCCATGGATATAACAAAAAGAGACTTTAATAAATGTTGCATATTGTTATAATACCTAAAGGCTCGGCCTCATTTCCTGAGCCCCCTAGTAGCACAGCGGTATGCAGTAATGTAAGAGAAATATTTAAAAATGATTCAAAATATTTACTTTTATTAGAAAACATTTTCGGACAAAATAACTAACTCATTAATTAATGTTGTTTTGGAAATATGTTTTTATTGATTAGCCTCAACAGCTCAAGACTACATTAACAAGTATAAAGAAGGCTTAAATGAGAATTGGCCTACTTACTCACAGGTGTTAAATTACATTGGGCCATCTCTATGGAAGGAATTTTAAAGCTAACTTTGAAATATACTTCAAGTTATTATTATATTTTTTTATCAGCTGAAATTATTTCGGGTAGTGTGACTTCACCCATCTATGTTATAAGACGTGTGTTATTTTTACTTCTATTTGTTTGAGTCTACTTTCTTCTTACAATTAACATTTCTTTACACTCTTATAACAATTAAAGCATTGAGTAAATCTGATAAAAGAATGTTATCTTATTTTTCAGAATATTGTAGAACTCGATAAGTATTTTTCTATATTTATTTATTTTTCTTCTTCTTTGATCGCATCTTACCTCTTCGGAAGAAACTGATGGAAATATAAATGTTTTATTCCACTCTGGGCTTCTGGTTGGTTCTGCCACATGAGTTTTCATCGCATTAAACCCCCTAAAAATAATTCTCACAGTTATATTCTTAAAAATGTATCGATAAAGTGGATAGTAGGCCTAAAATAGTGCCACCCTCTCTCAATATAAATATTAAATATCTCCTCAATACGTCGTCAAAACTTTACAATACTATACAGTGTTCCCCTTTTATAAGAATATATATGTAATGACTGAATCATAAGTTCTGAGAATTTCTATAAATATTATAGCAAAAGTTTGAATTTCTTCTTCTTCTTTCTTCTGCATCTTTTTCTGTTACATGATAACTAAAAACCACAACAACTGTGTCAACCAATTTCACTGAAGTGATATAGTTTCAAACGAAATATCCGCTTTTATATGTATTATTAATAACTAGTAGTAATTAACTATAACATAATCCTAGTGTATACGATGTTATTATTACCCCTTGAAGGTAGCTTTTTTACAAACCTTTAATGTTTCTTTGAAAAGCTTAAGTACAGTGTGAAACAGGAATAATCAACCAATAATAGATACACAATAAATATTATAATTGGAACCTCATTGTATTTAGAAGTTGGTTATAAATATAACCTTCCTATGTCTATTGAAACAATGCATTAAAAAACAACAACAAAAAACAAGCAATCAAGCAAACATGTAGAGAAAAAACTTTTCAAAAAAGAAGTAAATGTAGGTATGGCTAATATTAATCTTTCAAAAACAACGCAAACAAATAGTAGGGATGACATTTGCATCGTCCCTAAGTAATAACACAGGAACGAATTAACATATATATATAAAACTATTCAATCACACTTTAATTGAATTTATCCTATTTTTGTCTGTCAACATTCTACTACACTGTGTGTTGTGCTATTATGTAGGGATGATGCAAATGCCATCCCCACTATCTCGTTTGCATTCTTTTTGAAGGATTGATATTAGCAATCAATATATTTATTTCCTTTTTTGAAAAGTTTTTTCTTTACTTATGTATATATAATGTTGTTAAATTTGTTTTAGAAAACACAAAACACTTTGTAAAAATAGAATAAAACGATAACTAAAAGTAAAAAAAATTATTTCTTTATTTGTGAATTATTTAGGATATTGTACCAGAAATGCTAATCAAGTGAAACTAGAACAGAAATGTAAAATAATTTAATGAATTATGCTTTAAGTTTTCATATGTGTTTGTTTAAATAAATATCATTTAATTAATATTGATTTAAAAACTATAAGTACTGTAGACAAAACTCGGTGTTCCGATCACGTGAAGAATCTGCTAAAACACTTATTATTATTTTTACCTTTATGCTGTTGGTACGTGGTATTAAAACATACCATTTTTTACTATAGCAATTCGTCTTTTATTTGAATATAAAACCTACAATTCTATATCAAATAAAAAATGTTCCCAAAGAAAGTCAAATAGAAAGATAATGAGTAATAATAGTGCAGGACTCAATTCTAAGGAATTAAGAAATGATTTGAGTAAATGTCTAGAAACCAAATCAGTTTTCACTATATCCAATAGATACAGTGCCTGGCAAAAGTATTCACCCCTACCAATAATGTCACATTTTAATGGAATACAAATAATGTAAACAATTATTTCTAATGAATTTGTTTTTATTCAAAACTCTAAGGATCAAACTTAACACTGTTATTTGTGAATATCAACAAAACCTGCGAAGAAAATATATAAATTGAAATTTGATGATTGCATAATTATTCATCCCCCTAAGCCAGTACTTGGTGGAAGCATCTTTGACAGCAATTACTAGTGTGAGTCTTTTTTGATAGGATTCTACAAGCTTTGCACAATGTAATGGTGTAAATTTTTCCCAGTATTCCTGGCAAAATTGCTCCAATTCTGATAAGTTCGTTGGGGATCATTGATGGATTACAATCTTCAAGTCTCCCCATGAACTTTCTGTTGGACTGCACCACTCCACGACATTCACGTTCTTCTTTTGAAACCTTGTGCTTCGGGTCAATGTTCTACTGAAATGTGAATTTTTGACTGAGTTTTAGATTCTTGGCTGACTCAAGCAGGTTTTCTTCTAGGATTCGCCTTCAGCCCTGACAAGCTTCCCAGTCTTTGCTGGTGAGAAGCATCCCCATAACAAGATTCTGCCACCACCATGCTTGACAGTTGGGATGTTGTTGACTGGGTGATGTGTTGTGTTGGGCTTGCGCCAGACGTTACACTTTGACTTTTTAGACCAAAAAGCTCAATTTTTGTATTGTCGGACCACAAAAATGTTTGCCACATATCTGCAGTATCATTTACATGCTTTGTCGTAAACTCCATACGAGATTTGAGATTATTCTTTTTCACTAATGGCTTCTTTCTTGTCATTCACCCATCCAAGCCAGCTTTAAGTAGGGACCGAAATATTGCCAAGCTGCTTAGTTTGGAAGGGCGGCCTGATCTGGTTAGTAACTGGGTGGTATGAAGCACATTCCAGTTCTTAATGATGGACTTTACCCTACTCAAAAGGATAATCAGCGACTTTGAAATATTCTTGTAATCTTCTCCTGATCTTTGCTTCTCTACCACCTTATCTCTGACTTGCTTGGAAAGCTTCTTGGTCTACATGGTTGGTTTGTCGTATCACAGTTGGATTTACTCTGAAGGTAACTTAAACCACTTTGATTATACACATATAGAGACCATTACACTAATTTTGTGACCTTTCAAGCTAATCTTTTGTACCTGAACTGATTTAGGGTTATCGTAGCAGAGGGGCTGAATACCTACGCAATTGAGAATATTCTAATGTTCTTTGGAAATCTAACTTACTTACATAACATCAGCAATTTTTTTTAGATTTCCCAGTTTGAGTAGATTGTGTAGATTCCAAATATAAAGTTCTATTTGAAAGTTTCATTATTACAAGCTCAGACGGCAACAAAATATGGAAACTTTGCAAGGGGTGAATACTTTTGAAAGAAATTGTAATTAAGAGTAGGCTTCTACTATATTTCATGTGTTGTAAACAACTGTAGAAATTCTTATATATGATAGCTTACAACTATTAAAATACAATAGTTTTAACCTATGTTTTTTTTTCTCTATAAATCCCAAAACTATCAACTAAAACTAAATCCCAAAAATATCAACAGTTACAAATGATGTTCTAAGTCACCTTAAAAGGTATAACAATATTTTTATTTCGTAGTAACTTTTGTTAAATAACTAACAATTTAACATTTATTTTTCTCTTGGTAATTTGTTTTATGTCTTAACTTGTCATTTATTATAAATGACTGCTATAAGACTTACGAGTTAGGCATCAATCGGAGCTTTGCATAGGCACAAGGTAATTTACCAGAAGAAGACTTTCTACATCGTAGACCTCTGGCAGAAAGGAGCGTAATGACTAGATTACTCTGAGTCTGATCAAACCAGATCTGTACTTCAATATCCCCCTGGATATAACTAGTACGCGTAAATTCATCCTGCATAAATAATGACATGTATGTAAATTGGTTCTGCATTGTTCAAAAAATGTTAGAATAAAAGAAAAAATGAAAAACCAAATGTCCAATTTCTGTCAGAAATTATTTAAATTTATGTCAAAGTTATTGATAGTCATATATCTATGTTTGTAAAGCTTGCCATATGTGATTAAGTCCTTACTAGGCTTTATTTATTGCTCATCAAATGACTTTATTCTCAGAAGGAGAATCTTGGTTAGAGAAGGAATGAGTGGAATTTCAAATTAAACCTGCCACAACTAACGAAGTTCTTAACGAATCTTACTTAATTCTGCTTGGTCATTTATGTCACGCATTGCGAAACCATGGAGAAGAAGGATTGATAGTAAGGTTAAGGCAAGGTGTTTACATATAGCTAAGACTCTGGTAGATTTTACTTTGTCCTCACCAGATAAGTTTATTCGCAAAAGGATAAGCACAAGAAGATGAAAGATCAGGGGAAGCTTGAGCTAAGCTTATCATATCCGACCGAACCCTTTCAATAACATATTAATGTAAAACACATTTTCAAACAACTTAGACTAAGAAAATAATAATACCAATTTTTTTTTTATGTTGCTTGTTTCGATCGCATAGGATTAAACTAGAAGCTAAAGCAAAACATAATAATTAAGAAATAGGAGTTACTTCTGAGTAACGCATGTTTGCGTACTTGAAGTACCTATGATTTTCACGACAGCGCTGTGTTTGTAGTTAGTAGATTAACTACGTTTATTAATATTATTTAAAAAAAAAGAGACGTAAATCTTACCCTTTGGTGTTTAGCTGTTAGATATTCTTTATAACCCGTATTTTTGTAAATTTTTTTTTGTAATTTTGTTTATTGCTCAATAAATACTTTTTTTCTACATATATGGATCGCTCAATAATAGTACTTATGGATTAAAGAAAGTTTACGTTCAGTCTGAAACTCTATTCTGATCATGGGAAGCAATATTTTTAGCCATGAAAAACTCCTACTTAAAACTACTCACGGGAGTTTTAGGTAACTTTCTTCTAGTTGGAGATGTGGATTGACACTCTGCCTCGATTTCGTGATCTACAAAATATAATGCAATATATTTAAATCTACATGTTTATATTATAAACAAAAATATGTCAAATCTCTGACAAAAATTATTGCCTTTTCATCGTATAGACAAAACATCGCATTCTATACAACTTTAATGAAGCAAGTCCTTGTGATTTTGTCTTAGTTGAAAAATATATAAATTAATATTTGTACAATCTATGTAACCATATCCTCATTTAAATAATGTAAGTTATCAATACAGGTAACCATCTATGTGGTGAATTCACCTAAAATTTGTTCGTCGAAGTACTGTTGCACCTTTTGAGATATTTTGTACGAGAGGTGTTCAAACTAACTTTATCAGATGACAATCAACAAATGTGCACCAATGACGTTGTGAATATGGTTAACCATACAGTACTTTACAACACAGTAAAATAAGATTTATTTCCTACACCGTTCTGTGAGCTTTCTCGCATTTATCTCGAATCTATCTACGGTGCTTCAAGAATGCCAATATTTGACCAGGAGCATTTACAAAATTAGAACATTACAACTCATTTACCTTCAGTGGATTCACATCAGACATTAATACTTTTACGAAAACATCGTCATCGGTGGAAACTCAATCTCTAAAAGGCGTGAGATGAGCGAGAATTACAGGGCTAGCTAGCTAGCTCCCTAGTAAGCGAATTGTACCTACATCAACTCGTAATCAACTCGCTCATCGTGAACCCTCGATATTATATCAAGGAAGTTCCAAACTAGAAAGAAGACTTTATATTGCTTGTAAGTTTGTGACACTTTTGTTTATAAATCATTGTTTGTAATAATTGTTATTGTAAATTGTATTGTTGTGTGTATGTTGAAACGTATTTGGGTTAAAAAAGACAACTGTGTATCAATCGTGTTGGCATATATTATAAACTGACTATATATCGGCATTTTTTTAAATGCTAAATCCAAAGTACAATTTAACTAATAAATTTAAATTATCAGTTAACTCAATTTCATACCCTCTGAAATTCTAGTACGTAACATAAGTGATACAGAAAAGTTGAAATATACGTTAAGATTCATGTAATATGATGTATTTTTCAATACCAAGATGCACAAGAGATGTATAAAGGTACAACAGTACATTAGTTTAGAAGACTACAGGGACATGTCTCAGGCATAAACGATCAGAAGAGAAACAGCTTTTGTCACGAAACTTTCTGTAACACGCTATGAACAGCCTATAACTTAGTCTTTTGTCTCTAAGTATGTCTATGTGGGTAGCTCAAAACATCTTTCTCACCTGTTCTCAGAATAAGACTTGAAGTTGCATGTTTTAGACGAGGATTCGCAACGCCTTCTTGATGATCGCTCGGGTTCCTGCTGAAAACATATTAATGTAGAAATACACTTTCAAACGTCTTAGTAAAAGAACATAATGCATATCCATGTTTTATTTATTTTTTGTTTGTTTCGGTTGTCTATGAGTAAATTAAAAGATAAAGAAAAAAAAAGAATTACTTCTCAGTAATACATGTCGGCGTATTTAAAGTACCTATTTTTTTCAGGGTAAGATAAAATACTTATCATATTTCCTGTCTAAACACCGGTAAAGAAAAGTAGTTTTTATAAATAAATTATCATTTCGCTTAATTAATCCTGGACACACAGATATTTTTTTATCTCTCCTGAAAAATGTAAAAATAAAATATTCCTCGAATCTTTATAAGAAACTTAAAGTAAGAAGAAACAAGTAGCTTCAAGAACATCTACCTGTTTTATTGTTATTATAAGCAAACTATCTGGACAGGGAAAACTTAAAAAGTAATAGTATCACAAGATATATATATATAATAAAGTAATAGTATCACACGATATATATATATATAAAGTAATAGTATCACACGATATATATATAAAAAGTAATAGTATCACACGATATATATTCGAATTATGTTAAGTACGGTTAAACATTCCTTTACTTTTACTTTTTTAAATTATACTTCGTAGCTCACAGTGACCTTGCTGCAACATAACGTCATTTTTTTCCCCTCTTTCACTTCGGTGATTAATTAATAATTTTGAATAAAAAAAATATTGTTTTCACTATATACAGTGTTAGTATTAGTCTCATTTGATGAAATGATAGATGTTTTAGAAATATATTTTGGGATTTATCCGTTATATTTATTTTGTAAACAGAACCCTTGTATTTATATTCTCTTAGCCACAATATGGTTAGTGAATTATTCAAAACTTTTGTTTTCTTTTCAGTATATTTATATAAATCTAATACGTTTCTATTTATCCAAAATAGAACAAGTATTTCAAGATATAATATTAAATTATAGATGATTATTTAATTTCTAAAATTACAAATTTGTTTGCAATTGGTGTACTGTTTTTTTTATGTGCATTACTCTAAAAATGTAAAGTGTGACAAATTATAATGGGTATGACCAAACATAAGTATGTGATTTCAGTTTGTAATTACTTTATTTAGGGTACACATTTTAAAATCAATAAGCAGTGGTGATAGTAGTGCGATGTATAATAATTTTGGTTGAATGGACGGCAACTGCCTGTTGTAGAACCAACATCATCAATGTGATTATCCATGCCTTTGAACAAAAAACTAGTTCAAGAATCCCTGCAGTCCACAGAATAAAATCGAAGAATAACGGAAAACCCACACATGTTATGAAAATAGTAACCATGTACAAGCAAGCTGTAGACAATATTCTCTCCCGCGGATGCTTTTTCTTCTTCTTTCATTTTAAAGCAGAAAGGCCCCAGCGTAAATCACGACTGTCTCCAACACACGCCAATAGATTTCTCCCACATCTTCCATGCCATCCCACTCAACACACTCCGTAGACCAAGAAATCCGGATCTCTTACACTCAAACTCAGCAGACTCAAACACATGACACAGGAACCTCTCGTGATAAACACGGCAGACTCAAACCACGATGAAGGAACCTCTAATGAAGATTCAACTACACGTGAGCGTAAAACCCAGACAACTAGGCACGTACTATTTCAACCCAAACCACAGCAACAGCCCTTAGAGCTTATTGGTCTCTGAGCCCACCCCACGACTACCCCTTGTCAAATTCGTCAACTAAGGATAGACACCTCCGCAGACTCTCTGCCGTCGCCCACTTATGCAATCGAAGAGCTTCGTGCTCGGTTCTTTTTTTCCGCTGCCCCTCAACCAGCGATAACGAAGAACCTCCCCGCGACAGACCTTTTTTAAGTCATCCACCTTTAGTCTCAATTTTACCAAGTAAATCCTCTTATCACGCCAATCCTCGACAACGCCCATAATTCCGTTCTTCTTCTTCTCCAGGTTGCTACAAGTTTTCTCACGTTTGATCGGGTACTGATCAGGTAAAGTATTTGGCTCCTGACTAATGGAAGTGGGTTTTCCCGGGGCACTCCCGTTTTCCTCTACATCTAATTCTAGTTATTGGGTTTTTAGATTCCCGCCGCCTTGAATGACCACAAGTCCTACAAAAGCCATTTATATTTTGAGAAGAACTCCATGAATGTAAAATAATAAATTTCAAGTTCAGCCCCTTACCTACCTCACGAGAGGGGTGAAGGGAAGCTAAAGCTTGTGAGCACCCCAGGTAATCTTCCAAGGCTTCACCTCGGAAGATCTTATATCGATACAACCGCCACGAAAGGATACACGTTGACCTGAAGACGAAAGGCGGAATACTTACGAAACGTCGTCCTCTACACTTGTGTTTCTGCAATAGGCAGTTGCCGTCCATTCAACTAAGGTTCACCATGGATACTCTACCTTAACAATCTATCAAAGAATGGGGATTTTTCTCTTCGAAACAGGGGAAAAGGATAAGACAGTATATAATATGCTTGATATAAATATATATTTATGTGTACAACATTATATGAAAAAGAATCAGAGAAGTAAACATGTATCTAGAAAGACAGCATTAAAAAGGCTTAGCTTCATATTATTTTATCATTTATTAAGCTTATTATTATCATTATAAAGGAAAATATGTAACTCTTAGCCTTTGGAGTTATATATGTTTCTACATCTATAGTCACAAATAATATTAGGATTTTATTATTGGTATTTCTTCTAAAATATTTCTATATACTTTTTATTCATCATTCAAATCCATAATTAAATAATCTTTGTTTTACATAGACAAATATATTTTGCATCCGCCTACAACGTTTAGAACGACGTATTTACTTCATTCTGACCAAGAAAACTAAAAGTGTGTTTATGAGAAACAGAATTGCTGTAGGTTATGTTGAAGTATTCAAGAGGTACCCGGAGCCAGAGCTTCCTGACATATGGTTTATAAAGAAAGGCGAAAAGCCTGTTTGTAATTACGTTTTAGAGATAACATAGTCAGAATTTGAGCCTTTAATTTGTGAAATCTTCTAGTTTTTGTGGATTCTTGATAAACTCTCACGCCAACGTAAAACTCACTACAGAACACTAACTTGAAAATGGGAAACTCAATTTCCATGAGTACCAATTCATCTATATGCTATTATTGTTGAACTAAATAATCAGTTATTTCTATAATGCCATCTTAACATGTTTGAAGTTTAGATTATTGGTTTACTAGTTGTAGAAGTATTAGGTGTTTCACGAACCTGCAATAAACGAAAATTTTAACAACGAAATAAATATAATTTTCAAATTTAACGTTAAATATACCTAAGTTACTCCAACATACACTCCGCAATCTTAATATATATAACTAAATATAACTGGTCCCTTGTTTCCATCAAATACCTTCGTTAACAATGTTAGACTATGATTATATTGCTATTGTTGTTTTATGAAATTAGAACACCACACATACAGATTTAATTGTTTTAAGTCATAATTTGCCAATCCCAAAGAAAATACCGACCGAACTCTGTATTTTCAACTAACAAGTCAGAAGTCCAACGTATAAATATTTATAACGTATATATATATAGAGAGAAGTTAAATACTTCGCTTAGAAATACTTACTTCCACGATGTTTTTTCAAATACTAGTTCAGCTGTATCACTGGATCGCTCGATAATAGCCGTTACTTCTTCATATGTCTTGTCTACTAGTGAGATTCCATTCCACTCGTGTATACGGTCTCCTATCCACAACATAAATACACATCTGTATCACAAAAACATAAAGATATATACTATAATCTGTATATGTATTCACCATATTATAAATATCCCAAGTTCTTCAAGGCTCTTGGAATTTCTATTTATGCACTTGTTTTTGCAGCTTCATTTTTTGTATGCGTAGAAACTGATTAACTATGCATTTTGCATGCCTTAATAGCTATGCACATTCCCAGTATTCTTCTGAAAACTAATAAAACGTTATGAGCTTTATATTCTACGTTTACGAACGATTTTGAGAAAAGTTGGAAGATACAAAAACGCGAACGTAAATAGTATTTTGAAGAATAATGCATGTACATTTCTGATAAAAAAAATAACGTAAACTGTAGAGGTTTTCATTTACATTCCTCTTAATTTGTCAGATTCAGATTCGAAATCAGAGATGTGCAAAAATAGTATCTTAGATTTATAGTTCATCCTCTACAAGAAATTGCACATTAGACCTTTCGTTCATTACCAAAACTCGTCAGTTGGGCTAGACAAAGAGAGAGAAAAACGTTTTGTTTTTAGTCATTCCATTGCAATTGTTAGGGCTAGTAACACAGCAGAGAGTTACGCCCTCTTTTCAATCATGAGATCATAGCGACTATGAATAAAGGAAAAGTATATACGTATTCTACAGTACTGGATGGTATGAAATGATGCTCGTCATATGTACGTATTCTACAGTACTGGATGGTATGATATGATGCTCGTCATATGTACGTATTCTACAGTACTGGATGGTATGAAATGATGCTCGTCACATGTACGTATTCTACAGTACTGGATGGTATGAAATGATGCTCGTCAAAAGTTCACAACTTTATATAATCAGTTATGAAGATATGAGAAGAGAAAACGATTTTTATGTAAGGTAAATGTAAGGAGACAAGTTATTCATAGGGTAAGAAATGAACTAGAAAGTTTAGAAAATTGGCAAGAATGAATTTTGAGTCTGGAATCAGTATCTGGAATATTTGAGGTGAAGCTTCTGAAGATGACGTGGATTGGACTGGGTAGCTTGATTTTGAATTCAGATGTCATTCCAGGACCAGAAGTCTTTCATAAAAAGAGGCGGATATTCATGAGATGTAACCGTAGATAATGCAAGGACGAATTAAAATATTAAAGGATTCATATTCCGAATAATTTCAGTCGGACACTACAGACGGTTGAGTCATAAAAGTAGCTCCTCAACGACATTTTAAAGTAAATATATACATATACAAAATGTTGTAGTATATGACAAACAAAAGTTACTGCTCTATATGAAGAATTCTATCATATATGTTGCACCCTGCAAGTTTTGAATTCAAAATGTTTGTTGAGCAGTAGTACCATCTGCAAACACTTCAGAAATGATTTCTTTTTCAGTAGCCCCCTCAGTGTTGCAGCGGTAAGTTATAGGGTTCACACTGCTAAAAATAGTTTTGAAGGTTGTGGTGAGTACATCATAGATAGCTCATTGTGTAGCTTTGTGCTTAACAACAAACAACCAATAATTGATTGAGCTGCACCACGAATCACACAGTGGTGTACAGCAATGTGAAACTATTGTTTTCACATAGATCGTCCAAGCCTAAGCTTCTGAATAATAATATTAAATCTTGAGTTGAATCGTTTCTAAATACCGTATTGAAAACAAAACAAAACTGGATTATGTTTTGGATGAATGGCACAACGCTATTTCTTAATAATTGTAAATAAAATTTTAAAAATTCAAACAACACTGGACTTTAGTTGTACTTTACTAACCAATCAAGAAAAGGCAGAATCTCTGCATCTGTGGTTACGGAATCACGTGTTCTTACCACTTTCAAATTTCATGAAAGTTTGGAAAATTAACTGTCCACTTATTGCGTGTATTTTGAGCTTTCAAGAAAAATATTCTAGGATGTTAACTAAAAAAACAAAAAGTATTACCTTGGTCGAGACCTTTCTTTTCTGCTGATCCACCAGCAACAATCGAAGCGACATAAGCATGTAAGTGTCCATCTTCAGAGAACTTCCCTCCTTTTACCCTTATGCCAAATCCCCTGACTAAATAAAGGTTCAGTTTACCTTAAAACTTCATACCTACACGTTGAACAACATTTAACCTATATAAAATTAGTCAATGACCCAATAATTAATTACTCTTATTCTTTACCAAACATATATGCAGGTGAATAAAATCGTTTTCAATTTGTAAGCCATATTTACTAGGTGTACAATAGCTAACAAGAGTATTAATAAACTAATACCCCCTCTCCCCCAGGTGGATGAGTGATACGATAAACTATAAAGCTCATTGTACAACTTCTTAAGAACAAACAGGCTAGAAGGAAGTATAAAATAAAGGTTTTACAACTCTTGATATTTAGTTTTCCACCTGTTGGTACGTCAAGCAATATACTTCCATTAAAAATACTGTAAAGTGCATAAAATCCACAGAATATGATTAAGGATTTTTGTATAATCTGATATCATTTAAAGATAAATAACATATTAAACTCAAAACATTTTCAGCTGAAAAAATTAAGTTTTGTTCTGTTTTTTTTCTAATTACTTGTCTAGAGAGAATAATTTGATTGTTTGATACAGATACAGCTAGGAAGGCGAGAGTGCTAACCGATGGTTATTATTTAAATTATTTTTATATTATACTTATGATTGTGTTATACAAATAAAGAATACTTATATGGTACATAAAAATCTATAGTATGAGTACACAAAAATACAAAATTTGGAAAGGTGAAAGAAATGAATGGAGTACATAATGAAATACTGGCAGTTTACCACTCTCAAATCGAAATTTTACTTATAAATCGCGTATCGACAGCTTCAAACTTCACGAAATAATCCAGAAATAATTTGACTGATCTATTGTATTCTGGTGGTAAAGTATGTTTTACTTCACTGAAGCTTTTTTAAAGGACTGTGGTCTTTGTGTTTCCGATTAAATAAAACAGACAGGTTTTGCATATTATTTAATGGTGATAAATAATATCGTGCTTGAAAATGTTCAAAACAGGGGATCAATAACATATTTCTGAAATAGGTTATTAATCTAGCTTTCAGTATTAAGCAAGGAATTTTTGGAATTGGCAATCTGATCAAGCTTGTCTTAGTGATTTACATGATAGGCTGAAAAATGGAAGGTTCGAGACAATAATAAACTGCTGAACACTCCTTGGATTGTCAGCTATGGACATGTTATAAAAGTGAAAGTCTACCATATTATTCGATTAAGAATAGTCTGTAGGCAGCGGATTCTGCTGACTGATTTTTCTACCTTTGATCAGCATATCCAAATTAGTAAGTACTAGCTATTACTATCATTAACGGTGAGGGTACCCAACTGATGAAACAATTCACTCAAATTTTTATAAGAAGGACATATGAAAAGTATACTTATGTAGTTTTCTTTAGTTCATAATATTAGTTTGAATCATTCACATTTTGTATTTACTGTTATGTTTGCTTCCTCATAAAAGTACCTTTTGAACACCAAGAGAATGTCATTCCTTTCAGTCATTAATTCAGTATACTAAACATTACTACTAACTCAGAAATTTAAGGCGCTGTCATTTATTATTAATTATTAATGGATTGTAAATTAGAAATATTATATGATTCTTCTCATTTTGGGCAACAGGCTGTTACACTGCTTTATATGTGTTTATCCAATGTCACATAGCTTGTTTGATAATGATCAGGACCTGCTTATTATATGCCATATTCAAATCTAGCCTTAATGCATACAAAACATCAATTTGCAGAAAAAGAAATGTAATATAATAATGCTATTTTATAGGGCTATCATGTGGCTCATCTTATGAAATTCCTGACGCTGCTTCAGAAGAAATGTGCTCGTATCGTTAGAACGGAGGTAAAACATCAACAACGAAAAATAAAACAACAAATTACAAGTTCCTCTTGTAATCAAATGATTATTTAAATAGTAATATACAATTAGTGTGAAACAAAAATAAACATCACTATTTTAAATAGTTATGTTGAAAATGTATATAATTGTTTCTTTGATAGTACCAAAAATTACTACAGTTTATTTTTGCATGCCTAGACAGATATAACTATCAAGTTCATGGATAAACAATTTTATGCATACAATAATTAGGAACTAAATAATGCTTAAGCTAAAATATTAACTTACACGTTTATTACCGAAATGAAAGAAAAACATAGCTAAAATTATATATATATATATAAATACAATACGGTTTAATGATAGAATAAAAAGACAAAGACGGTTTGTTTTCATAACTTTCACACACGTCTACACATAGCGGTCCCCAATTTTGAACTGATAAACTAGAGGGGGAAAAAAACAACTAGTCAACAATACCCATCGTCAACTCTTGAGCTCTTCTTGTTTGACCAAATAATGAGTTTTGACTGCCACTGTTATAGTGCACCCATGGACCTAAAGCGTTTACGGTGCACGAACCATGAACATTAGGTTCTTAGTCCAGGCACTCTAACCTCTAAGCCACATTCTTCCTAGAAAAGAAAGTTACCAACCGAATCGTATCCTCTTGTTATTAAAAGAAATGTTTTATTTACCTGATTTAAGATGCTAGACTTCCTGTTACTTTTTCACTATATATTGTACAGACTCCTTTTAATCTACAATGCTCTCATTCAGTACTGAAATATCATTCGCGACATTATAATCTTGTTTCATTGGAAAAGGAAAAATGTCGAATTCATTGAATAAAAACATCGTTACTTTTTCTAGCCAAAGATCTTAAAAGTTGTTCTTATTTTTAGCTCAGAACACATTTAAATAAATTGAAATGTCCGATAAGAAAATGTGTTAGATTATGTAAACTTGCACATAATGAGACAGAACCGTCATGCAAAAAGAATACAAGGACCTCAGAAATACTTTTCAAAATAATGTTTATGTTAGTTACAAACAGCACAACTGTACTGTTGAACGCTATATAAGAACAAATAGTATTAGAAACGATTTTGTACGAAAAAATATTTTCTCGCATCTTTTCAGTAAATATAACGCGTTTTTAAAGAAAATGCTTTACTATATTTTCCAGCTTTCATTCTGAACATGAATGGCAGAAGCGACCAACGTGGATAGCATTTGTCTTTAAGAATTCCGAAAGAACAATTTCTTATTAATAACATCTTTAAGGTTTTTAACGAAGAATGGAGTTTATATAATGAGCCTTAACGGCTTGAAGCATTAATTAGAACCCACTTGCATTTCAATCACATAAAGTTATAGAAATAACACACACATTTTAATTATATAAAGTTATAGAAATAACACACACACATTTTAATTATATAAAGTTATAGAAATAACACACATTTGAATCACATAAAGTTATAGAAATAACACACATTTTAATCACATAAAGCGTCAAGTCCAATTCTTATTTAATATTCACATTAAGTTCTAGGACTAACGTTCATGTACTAAATATATTTAAGGTTTGATGAAAAAAAAAGTTAATTTGAAATTATTTTAACTATTTAAGAACTTCAACGCTCTCTAGAGGCTCAACTGTATGTCTGAGGGATTATAACGCTAAAAATAGTGTTTCTATACCTGCAATTAGCACAGAACAGATAGCTCATTGTGTAGCTTTGGGCTTAAAAACAAATTTGAACATCTCTTCCATTTTAAAGAATCGACGAGTAGCTGAAACAATATTCTGTTTTCTATAACTGACGAAGTATTACATATTTTCTTCATCAAACTGATACAATATTCTGTTTTCTATAACTGACGAAGTATTACATATTTTCTTCATCAAACTGATACAATATTCTGTTTTTGATATCTGACGAAGCAAGTATTACATATTTTCTTCATCAAACTGAAACAATATTTGTTTTTGATAACTGACGAAATAAGTATTACATATTTTCTTCATCAAACTGAAACAATATTCTGTTTTTGATATCTGACGAAGCACTTCGTCAATTATCAAAAACAGAATATTGTTTCAGTTTGATGAAGAAAATATGTAATACTTACTTCGTCAGTTATCAAAAACAGAATATTTTTTCAGTTTGATGAAGAAAATATGTAATACTTACTTCGTCAGATATCAAAAACAAAATATTGTTTCAGTTTGGTGAAGAAAATATGTAATACTTACTTCGTCAGATATCAAAAACAAAATATTGTTTCAGTTTGATGAAAAAATATGTAATACTTAAGTATTACATATTTTCTTCGTCAAACTGAAACAATATTCTGTTTTTGATAACTGACGAAGTAAGTATTACATATTTTCTTCATCAAAGTGAAACATTGTTCCACGTGTTATTGTTATGGTGCATTAATTTGTGAGATAAATAGAGAATAGCTTCAACACTGAGCAAGTTAGCATGCTTAAGGACTGCAACATTGGTGACCTTATCCTGCCATTTGATGTTCGAGTGTCTTAATTGCACGCTATCGAGTCTGTTCAGGTACCTTCTATACGAAGTGTTTTACATATCTCAGCAGAATATAGCAGTGTAGTGAGGACAACAGTTCTTCATAGCTGGCCTTTGATAAGATATTAAGTCCGTGCTGTGACCATTCTCTGTTTTATAAACCCACAAAGACAGCAGAGGCAGTTTTGGTACGATTGTTGAACTTCACTTCTATGTTGTATATGTTACAATGCTTCCTAATTAAACGACACTGTGCATTGTTTTATACATTATTCATATATACAAATAGCGGGAGGTTAGCAGGTGATTGTGTTAGGTGGTGGCTGTTTTCTTTGTATTGATGGTAAGGCCGAATTTTGAAGAACAGAGGCGACATCGTCGGTAAAAGTTATCTTATACAAACTGCACGCACTTTTGCGTTTGACTTCAGTCTTCTAAGGTAGAAAAGGCCACCATCTGTTATTGTTCTAATGTAAATACCATTTGAACTCTCTTTGCTTACTGATCTTAGTATTACAGTGAGGAATGTTGTAAATAGTACTAAGACGCACCCTTGTTTTAGCTAGTGACTTTCACTAAAGATTTCATTTTTTTTGCCACCAACAGAGACTGATGCTTTCATGTCA